GCAGATATCCCTCGTGTAGTTTTGCGCGAAATTCAAAAACAAACAAACAAACAAAACCATCATTTCGATTAGAATTTCTTCATATGAAGGATCATTGCCATCATATCGTTTAGAAATCGACAAGAATTAAGTAAAACTAAGAATCGTCTAAAGCTGCCTAACTTACTTCGACACCTCTCAAGGTCTTTAATCACCTCCCTGATCTCCGGTGTCCTCAAGGGAATACGAAGTCCGTTAGTTACTGAATGTTTTTCTAATATCAAGACTTCTGACTGTTTGTTTGTTGTTGTTTTTTTACTGTTTTTCCTCCTAACTGCCATGCGTTGATACTTCGTTCTTTCGTTACCATTTCGTATAGTTTGTTTATGGTTAGGCACACAACACGCTATTTGTGTTATACCAACCGCGTGCATGGAAACCAAGCACGAGCGATGTAACTGGCAGTTAAAGATCAGTTTTCTCCCTGGATATTGAACCCAGAATTCTTTAAGGGTTAGAACAGTATGATGATCATAACCCATGTAACAAAAATACTTGACAAAGTACACTACTGATACCGTTCCTTTCACTGGAAGTAACATATTTTACAAGAGTTTGGAGGCTTATAAAACTAACATTCGGAGTTCGATCCCTGTAATAGGCACTGACCAGATAGCCCAGCGTACAAGTTTGTGCTTACAAAAACACTATCAAACTAGAGTACGAGTATCACTCCTTTAACTGGAAGTAACTGGAAGATCCCAGCCTTGGCACTTGGATCCACTGATCCCCGCCAGGCCTTGTAAAGGCCCGTTTGCTTCATTTTGTTTCGATAACTTGCCAAAATCGGCTGCCGACTTGCTCCTCCTTCAAAGATCAACCGGCCTCTGCTACGCCTTGGAATTGCCTTCACTTCCGCCTACTTGCCTCACCATCATACGTATATATACGGGAATATATATATATCTAATTTATCATTATTATCATTTTATTTTATTTTGTAATTAATTAATTATTATTACTTCTTCTTCGCCCATACGTCTTATTATTCCGCTGACCATTAATTGAAATTTAACCTTATGAAGGAGGATTGTCTAATCTTCGAGCACCCTTGATTAGTAATTATTTCTTAGGAGATAATTATTTTTAAATCACAATAACTGCCAAGAACACACGCAGTAACAGTTGAGAGAAGAAACGTTCTTGAGCCTGAAAGTTATTTCTGTTTAAAATTTAAGGAAAAAACTGATTCCTTCTTAGTGTAAAAATACACAATACCGTGCATGTATGTTAGCTAAACGAACCTGAAAACTAAACCCACTTTATAAAACAAACTATTAACACAAAAACTGGGAAACAAGTTTTTATACTTTCGACTGTCCTTTTAAGTCCTACCCACGAAAGTGTCGAAACAACTTCTTTAGTTTATGTACTAATATTTTGTTCTGTGCTATAGAAATATGCCATATATTTTTTCCCCTCTAGTATTAATATTTATTCTGAATTTATTCTTTAATCTGTAAATTCACAGGTTATCACATAAAACGTCTAAATAATAGCGTTAAAACCGATCATATTTCAAGTTACCTTTGTTCCCATGTCATTTTACAAGTAAGTGATACGTTTTATCGTCCGGAAAAAAAAACATTTCTTGCTGTGACCTCGTTAACGTTGCAAACAACATTGTACAGATAATGGCTGGAGACGGCTTAAATGGGTAATGAAGAAAAACTTTAATATAAGTTTAACATGACA